GTGCCCCCCCCTCCCCCCACTTCTCAGTTCCCATAAACTTATTGAGCAAAGCGTACCATCTAGTATCAGTTTACTTCAAGAAGATCCAGTGGCACAGATCTGATATTTTTTTGTTTTGATGTTGAGGCACAGAGCAGATTTTTCAAGGAAGAGATCACACACAACACACATAATTTGATAAAATCCAACCATCAGCTAAGGAAATGCACAATAGAGTGCTTCACAAGGAAATGATTAATCTAGCGTAGTGCTCAATATGTAAATCTTTGTTAGCCATGAAATTATTCATTTGATAGAAAAAGCCTCAGTACTCAAATATTAATTGGGTCATAGCAAATCATAAGTGCATTGAAAAAGTGAAGGGAACAGACCAGGTATCATATTGAATTCAATAAGCAACACTACTATGTGGTGCAAAAAAATGTGTGCATGCATATTTCTTGCACTATGAAATTATTCACTTTTTCAGAATATTTCTGTTAAGTGAACTACGACCAGATGGGCAAACTTCCAACAATTATTTTGAACATGATAACCCATGAGTCCCTCATGCAAAATGACAAAACCTTTTACCATTTTTCTTTTCCACTCAAGTATTTATGATACTTTCATAATCAACATGAAAAATTTGCATCTCCTAGGCAAGAGATAATCCATGAAGATTCCTTTTAATACACCAGTTAACTTCATTAAAAAAAAAAAAGAGAGATACTCAAAAACTTTAGACCATTCGGCATGTACAACATCCAGTTCATTGCCTCAATGTACGATGAACCCACTTATTTCAGGAACTATTTTCATCAAGATCTCTACAGAGGATATGACTAATAAGCTAATAATTTTGCAGTTTGATCCAACAAAGTCAAACTCGGGCTTAAAAAATGAAGAGCACTGGCAAATGAAAAAAAATGTACTGCCGTTTTAGAGAGAGAGAGAGAGAGAGAGAGAGATTAACACTCTTTTCAGATAAATAGAAAGATTAACACTCTTTTAAGGGGGAGAGAGTGAAATTAATACTCTTAGTGGGGGGAGAGGGAGAGGGAGAGGGAGAGGGGGAAATATTGATACTATTGTTAATGGGGGGAGAGGGAGAGAGACTGGCACTCTTTTTTGAGGATCAGGGTGTACCACAGTGTAATGGACTATGGGATTGGTGATCTATGCTGCATCCACCTTCCATTTCTGTTGATCAAGGGTAAAAGATGAATTGTTCCCCAGGTGAATGTTCATGTGGGCCCTACTCCTGTTAATCTTGGATCAAAATTCTGGTCAAGTTGGTCACTGACAATGCTAAAATCCAAAGAAAAAGTAACAAGGACAAAGCGCACACAGCAGCACGATCAGAAAAGAAATAAGATATGGGAGAGGGGTATTGCGTATGAGAGAAAGGATACATCATGTAATCCTTCCCTTGCTTAAGTGAGCGAGAGTGAGATACAAAAGAAAACCATTACATCAGTAAATATGAAGGATTCATGTGTTATGTCTATAAAGTACACCAGTGTTTCTATAAATAACAAGAAAACATTAAGCATGAGACAAAAAGGAAAGCATTCTTGCAGCAAACTATGTTTTCCATCAGCACAACGTCCTATACTTGTTTTTAGCATTGAAACCTTAAGAATGAGCTCAATGTCGATTTTTTTTGAAGCGGCATAATTGCTAGAACAAGGGACAAGGCTATGTAGTTACAATCTTACATATTTTGCTAATTCTTGTGTCAGGAACTTCAGAAATTTCATCGGCCTGTGTATATTTTGCTAATACTTGTGTCAGGAACTTAAGAAATTTCACCGGTCTGTATGCATTGATATTGGTTATTATGAAATGGCATGATATCCTCACCCTGTATCATTTATAAACTAACCCAATACATTGGGTTATGTAGATTAATTTTGCATTTTAATTTGATCTCATCACCCAAACCCTCATGATATTTGCATGTATCCATGAAACACATGATTGGATCAATGGGTCTTCAATTGTTGGATTGCCTATTCATTATTGGGGAGTTGGAGATTGCTGTAGCCCATCCTTAATCTGCTTCACTCCCCTTCATGCCATCTGGTTATAATGGCAATGCATGATATGGCTTGTTGAGCAATGTGAAATTTGTCTTAGGTTTCGACATGAAGACAGAAGAATGAGACACAAAAATGATCGATGCCCCATTGTGTGTATCATGCTCATAGAAAAATGGGCATGTCTTTAATAGACTTTTTTGCATTTCAACCCACAAGGAGGCGACACTCGTATTTAATAATTTAGAAACTCAGACCCTTCTTCTCAAGTCTTTTTCCTTGAAATCTCATTATAAAAATACTTGAAGTCCTAAAATCTCACCTTCCCCTTTCTTTAAATGGTGTACAACTTGTCATGTCTATAATGCCAGTTTCAAAATTTTGTGTTTCTGACACTCACAAGCTGTGTTAAATACTTGCACATATATTTATGGGAAAGGTTTCTATGCCTCCCCTACAGCGTAGAAGTTCTATCCTCCCCCTACCATCCAGACGTCCAATTTTGATCAAGAGAACCACTCACCGTTTGATCTTAGATCCGACGTCTTAAAGTATTTTATTTTTAGTTTTTTTTATACAAATTGTATGAA